GGAATATGGGTACTATATATATATATATATGGAGCCCGGCCAAAAGTCTATAATCAAAAAACATAGATAAAGGGGTCGAAAGTAGCTTCTGATGTTGTTTTTTTCAATTAGATTATGTAGCGGGCCCCCAGCTAAACACACCTATTCTGCAGCTGGGCGCTAGGTTTGCGGTAGACTTGCGCTAGTGACGCTAGTGTTTGCCTTAGGACATGTTCAGAACGTCGTCAGGTTTTTGAAAAGTGGCTGGCTGAAAAATGCGCTAGCCACGCGCTAGCACTGCGCTAGATCCGCGCTAGCAAACATTGCCAGATTCCAGCGTGGGTGGGCCCTTCCAAGGCTGACTTGCAACATGTCTTTTGTTTCAAGCGTGGCTTGAAGCTCGCAGATCAGCTGAAAACGGCGCAGCGCTAGTGACGCCTCTTACAATTTGGCGCCAATACTTGTTTGGTCCATGTTTCCTTCATTGACCTGTGTGTGTGTGTGTGCCAAAAGTAAAGAATATGTAGCGGGCCCCCATGTGAACACGACTTTCAGCCAGTTTTGGAAGAAGACATTTCGACCAGATCCCATATAGATACACTGTACACATATTAGTATGGAAAAAACATGTAAAGCCACATAGCATTATATAACCTAAGAAAGGACGTGGATGAGGAGGGGGGTCATGTAAGTTCGGCGTTGCAAGTTCAGCCCCAGGAAGCATATTTCCCGGCATCAAACGTTTCAACCCACAATCCAATTCCACACTATGTTTTTGATTCATAAGTTCAATATCAAAAACTCCTAAATCCAAATATATCCGGACTACTTCAGTATCAAGAAACTCAAAAAAAGGTTGGTAATACTTGGAGTTTAATAAATACATCCCGGGAATTGCCGCGCAACATGTTGCACAACACATGCAGCGTCCAATCTGGACAATCCCAGTTTCAGTAGCTGACAAAGCTCACAAATGGAGGTATTTTGTGAGAGAGGGACAGGGAACATAGAGCAGAAAGAAAAGTTCGTGCCACGGTTTGGAACTACATAAATACTCCTTTTTTACGGACAAAGGGGAAGCGAGGCCCCTCTCTGTGTAGTTGCTCCACTGTAGCATGTTCTGGAAACTTCTTCACAGTCATACCGTCCTTACATATTCCCTATTCTTTTCCTTTGTCACTAAGCAAAGGGGTGTTCAGTGAGTGAAGTGAGTGGGAGTGAGGGTAAAGGAAGGCTCGAAGGAAAAGGCATCAGGGCAAAAGGGCATGGAAGGATTGCAAAGGAAACCAACCCAAGATCCCCACACTATTGTGTGGGGTCCGAAATGTTATACCTCCTCATTAAACGGACCCATTTCTGAACTGTAGTCTGACCCTACTTGGTGGGCAACTCTTTTTGGCGAATAGGCAACTGTCATTCCAGAATGGCCCATTTAAGCGAGCCTCTTTCTTTTCTCACCTTTCCTTTTCCTTGCCCGTATTATTTCGTTTTTGTCGCATTCGCTTCTTTCAGTGTCAGCAAATTTTGTAAAAGGAAGCTCAAACAATGATGGTTTCTCTTGAAGCCGACTGTTAAGAAGCTCACAACAGGTGCCCCTCCCCTCATGAGTCTTGGTTTGCCTGTTGCCTTTCCTTTCATGCTCCCTCGGATCAGTTTGGCGTGGAATTGAGCTGCAAGAACTCCGGATTCATACAAGGTGTTTCTTTTTGGATAGGGGCATACATTTTTTGGAACACCTTCTGGACCTTCATAATTAGGTCTTAACATTCCTTAATGCAATTCCGCTTACCTACCCTCGTTTGGCTACTCTAGGTTCAATTCTGCCGTACCGCTGAACTCCACACTGCCCCGCACCTGGATACTGTAGTGTCTTTCTAGTGCGGTGTCTTAATGTATACTGTAAAGATGTATTCCATTACAGTACTCTTCTTGACGGAGTGGGAAGATCACAATACAAGCGGCAGATACAAGGATGGAGCCAAGCATTCTAGAGTAAAAGGAGTCGAAATGCACGTATTGTTTGTCAACCTCTGCACACTGCCAGTCTCCATTCCTGGCCTTGAACCAAAACCTCCGTTCTATTTGACCTTACTCTACCACGTTCAATTCTGCTGCATTTTGCTTCACTGTTTGTTTCCTATTATCTCATTCAGTGTCCTTCTTGATAGAATCGAATGACATTGCCAAATGGAGAGACAAGGTAGACGAGCGAGGACGAGTTGAGCTGAATGGAGAGGTTTGAGCTAGCAAAAGGAGTAGATTAGAGAACTGAATGGACATTGTTGTTGGTATATGTACAGTAGCCCCGGATTCTCGATCAGAAACATTTTTTTCCTTTGCTACATGCATGCTTTTTGCATGACTAGACTCGAGGGAATATAAAAGAGTGAGGTAGAATGTTGATACCGTGATACCCTTCATCATCCACTCTAATTACTCTACCCTCTTCTATACAAACTGACAAGCACGATAGAAAGCCGACTAGAACCGACTGTACAAGATATGGTAGAAGCAGGGTGTGCAGTAGCTGGCAAAGCTTACAACCAGGGGTATGCAACAAGGGCAAGGAGTGAAACTTGAAGTAGAGTCCGTGTGTGTGTGTAGGGTTTGGCCGAAGACCTCCAAATATGTGCATTACAACTGCATGTATTTCACATCTGCTGTGCAGATACACACTGCTACACTATATACTATATACAATAAAAGTATAAGTTGGAGGGTTGCACATACAAAATAAAGTTACAGTACACGCGCACAATTATATAATTTCTATACAAGTAGTGTTCAAAGACAATTCACCGGGCACAAGCATCCACACCCGAACAAAGCACTTGCATCAGGGGCCATGCATCATGTTTCTTGTATGAATACAATGAAAGTGTCGGCACGCATCGCGATGTGGCCTTAAGAGATATGTGAGAAGCTAATGCAAGATGCATTCCATAGTGGAAGGCACTCACAATCAATCCTGACATATTTGTCATGACATCTCTAGACCAGCAGCATGCTTGGTTTGAAAAGCCTAGCATGATACACTTGAACAGCATGTGGCTGGCGTACAGGTCACCGGCGAAGGCCCAGCGGCAAAACATCAGCTGGCAAAGTTCTATGCTTGCGCCGATGCATGGCATGCCCGAGCTGTGGAGGTCAAACCTGGTTTGCCGAGGGTTTTGTGTAGGAGCGATCGGACGCTACTGGGGGCTCCTGGCATCGCTACTAGGAGCACGGACACTACTAGGGGCTCCTGGCCGTACTACTAGGAGCAAGTAGCTGCTAGGAACAAGAAGCTACTAGGGGCATCGTACCGGCGCGTCCGGTTTTCTATCTGCGCTGAACTCCATAACCTAATATCTTGACCCCCCTCGCCCGTCCCCACTCGACTTATTCGGTTCGGCTTGTCGGCTTCTGGGAGGTCCCAGGTTAGCATGTAGAAAGAAGGACTTTAAGGAGCCAACTCGCGATGGCCTCCAACCTACTTGCGATGGCCTCCATCCTGCTTGCGATGGCCTCCATCCTACTTGCGATGGCCTCCATCCTAATAGCGAT